CTCTCTCTCTCTCCCTCGCTCTCCCTCTCTATCGCTCTCTCTCTCTCTCTCTCTCTCTCTCTCTCTCTGTATACTGCGGTAGGACGAAAGTTGACGCACTCCTTGTTTTGCCAACACAGGCCCCCATTCCCCCATAGAACCCCAACAAAGAGGACCAGTTGGGTACTCCTCCGGAAAATTAGAATAGTATACTATAGGGGCCTTAATGAATCGCTACACTAGTTTGGGAGTTCCTTATTATAATGGGCCCAAAATATTATAATTTCAATCGGTGTATAGAATACTTCGCAGGCCTGGCCACGTAAAACGCACGTTTCGGCACGCTGCAAGCCGCCTTCAGACAAGAAAGGTCCAATAGGTCAGAACTTCGATCCTCCCCGGTGTATGTAAATAGTCGGCACCAATATCGACTATTCCTTGTCAAAACCCGAAGCACGCAGCCACTTGAATGCTTTGCGGCCAGAATAGACGGCTGCAGATTCCCTTCGAATCTCAGTTCGGACCTTCAAAAATTGAGATTTACATGTCCGGAGCCTTAAGCATAGCCACCACAACCTTTATTGTCACTATTGTATTGTTAGGGTTACTGTCATTGTTGCGACTATGACGACTGATACTTACAAGTGTTATTGCGAGTCTTACTATCAGCATTACTCTTTGTTGCCGATATTCCTTTGGTTATACCACCCTGAAGTGGTGGGTCAGCAAGAGCGCCTAACAACTGCAGCTTCTCGAAACAGTTATGCTGTAAGTGAGGTCTTCGAAGGGCCTTAAAATGGATGTCTAAGGGACAAAAGATGTGGTGTGCCAAGACCCCGCAACTACCCTTAACAGAAAGGCTATACGCTTCATTTTGGTGTTGACTTTGGGGTTCCAGTCACGGCATCAAAAAGCAGATTCCTGTAGATCGTCGCTTGTCTTATTTGGTGGGCCGGTCAAAGTTCAATTCGTAGCTGTGCCAGTAGCCTTTACTAACTCCGAGCGGAAATGCCGAAGTCCTTTACGCCAAGCCCTGAGACGAGTATTGAACAGGCAGTGCTCGAAGAGCCCATACCTTTAGATAAGAACAGGCATATGGCTGAATTCAGACGTGTAGAACAGGTAGCTCCTGAGTTTGAGGTTGTTAAGAGCCCTACGTGGAATTATTGCGACCTTCCAAAATGGTAACTTTTGAACCCATACACCCATAGCCCCTAAACCCCTAACCCGCCCCTAAGCCCATAAACCCATAACCCCTAAACCCCTAAACCCTCAACCCCTAAACCCATAAACCCATAACCCCTAAACCCTAAACCCCTAAACCCATAAACCCCATAACCCCTAAACCCCTTTTGGCAGTTCACGGTAGTCTTTCAAAACCCTAAACCCTAAACCATAAACCGTGGCCCTAAGCCCTAAAACCTAAACCCTGGCCCTCTCACCCAGGAGTCTCGACTGGGTCTCAGCTGCGCTACTTTCGCCTTCCGATTTTAGAACGTAGACTTAGGAATTTAGGGTTTGAGGGTGATACTGCTCAGAAATTCTAACTTGTCTTCCGATTTTACTTGGTGCCTGCCCTAAGTCGCCGTGCACCGCCAAAAGTCGCAACAATCCCGCGTCACCTTGCGGAAAAGCATTGTAAAGCCACGCAAACCACTTTTTCGATGACTTCTTGCGTGCTTGTTTGTGCAGCGTCACCTTGCGGAAACGCATTGTCAAGCCATAGATGATGACGTCTTGCTTGCTTGTACGGTTCAGCGTCACCTTGCGGAAACGCAGTGTCAAACCATACAATGCACTTCTTCGATGACATCTGGCATGCTTGCTTGTACAGCGTCACCTTGCGGAAACGCATTGTGTCAAGTATACAATGCGCAGTTACAATCCGCTTCTTCGGTGACGTCATTTGTGCAACGTCACCTTGCGGAAACACATTGTCATGACGTCTTGCATGCTTGTTTGTGCAGCGTCACCTTTTGGAAGCGCATTGTCAAGCCGTACAATCTGCTTTTTTGACGACGTCTTGCATGTTTGTTTTAAACTTACTACTCCCAGTTGCCTAAGTCGTTGCGTTTTGTTCGTGGTGGCGCCAGACCTTGGGGGGAAGCTCTGTTGTGAAGTCGTTGCGTTTCGGGCACATGGGGGAAAGGCTTCCAAGATGATGATCTTGCGGTGCTTGCGACATCGAGCGTCTGCATGGGAAATGGTTGGTTTTGATGTGTCGTGATGCCATGGATGTGTGTCTCGAACGGGTGCTTGTGCATGAGCGTCTTCACCTGTCCCCGGAGGTGTGCACTTGCGGAAAGGCTGCAAAAACGAACCGCAGCGCGCAGGTATCAGATCATGCCTCGCGGGCTGCATTCTTCTCCTGTCCCCGGAGGTGTGCACTTGCAGAAGGTTGCACAAACGATCCGCACCACTCAAGGTTTCAGCGATGCTTTCAGCTTTCACCAAGGGCCTTCCTTTATCTTCTGCTACTATCGAAAGGGAGTCTCGGTCACTGTGTTTGGTCGGGAATCAACACCTCTCGTGTCGCGCGGGCGCTTGTGAACTGGAGCATCTGCACCGGGAATGGCTATTTGGACGTGCTATGACTGATACGATACAGCGTGTGCCGCGTTTGCTTGTGAAATCGAGCGTTTACATGGGGAAATAGTGTAGAGGCATGCTGTCATGTGATGCCACTGATATGTATGTCTCTTGTGCGCGCTTGCGGCGTCTACATGGGGAACGGCTAGTTTGGATGTGATGAAATGCCATGTTATGCCACTGCTGTGTGTCTCTCGCGTGCGCTTGTGAAATCGAGCGTCTACATGGGGAACGGCTAGTTTGGACGTGCTGAAATGCCATGTTCTGCCACTGCTGTGTGTCTGTTGCGCGCACTTGCGAAATAGAGTGTCTACATGGGGTCTGGCTGGATTGTATGTGTTATGCGGACACTGATGTGACTGATGTGTGTCTCGCGGGCATGCTTGTGAAATCGAGCGTCTACTTCGGGAACGCCAGATGCCTTATGTGTTCGGGACATGGATTTCCTGTGCATCCTCCCACATATTCCCAGGGCTGTCGCAGCATTTCCATCGAATCGCACAGTTTTCCTTCTGCGGCACGGCCATGTCAAATCGCGCGTCACATTGGTGATTTACAAATTTGCTGTGACTTTCTGGCGCGTGCTGTGACCTTTTCCCTTTCGCGCGTCACATTGGGGGAAGGCGGCGGTGCTGCGACTTTTGGCCGCGTGAGGCGACTTAGGGCGGGTACCAAGTAGCACGTAGACTTTGGAATTTAGGGCTTATAAAGGGTTTACAGTGTTTAGTTTTTGAATAATGCTCAGAATTTGGAGACTTATTAATCAAGTTGTATGCGTATTTTCCCTGGGATCTCAGCTTTCAATCTCACGAGTTCTGACGAGTTCCCTGCGGTGCGACTTGTTTCAGCTGGGCGGGTGGCAAAAATTAATCAGATTTAGGGTTTAGTGCTTAGGTAGTTATTTACCTCAGTACTGGTCGCTGTATTTGGAGACGATGCCTGCGAATCTGTCAACATGGTTTGGGTGGTTTTGGGGGGGTTGCCTGACCCTACATCCTAGACTCTTCCCTTCTGTTGAAGTCCTTGCATTACATACCTTACACCCTAAGCACCCTCAGCCCTAAATTAAGCACGCTAAACCCTAAGCTCTTCCCTTCTTTTTAGGTCTTTATACCATAACTCAAATACCCTAAGTACCCTGAACTCTTCCCTTCTTTTGAGGTCTTCGGAAGTAAATCAAACAGGATAAACCCTAAGCTCTTCCCTTCTTTAGGTCTTCGGAAGTGCAGAAATACCCTATACCCTAAATTATGAAGCCCAACACCCTGGCCTGTACCCCAAACCCTCAGTGCCCTAAGCTCTTCCCTTCTTTAGGTCTTCGGAATTGCAGAAGCACCTTGTACCCTAAGTACCCGAGGCCCTCACTTAAATGCCCTAAACCCTTAACCCTCTTCCCGTCGTTTGAGGTTTTCGGAAGTGCGGAAGCACCGGTCAACTTGGACACGGCGACCAGCTCCAGGAGCTGGCCATGCTTTTTTACCAGAACCCCTCTGGAGGTGTAGTACAGCATCGTACGTTGTACAGTGTATATTGCTTGTATATTCGTTGAACGGACAACCGATATGTTGAACTACTCTAAAATTTCGGGTTTTAGGGGTTTCTTGCAATTCGGGGTCTGTGCATGGATGACCCTACTGTTTAGAGTCAAGATTAGAGTCCATCAACATGGCCGCCGTCTATTCTGAACTTCCAAGCTGTGCCAAAGATCAGAAGTCTGCCTGCGAATATGTGGAGCAGCGCATCTCCCGATTGAACCTTTCAGCAGACGATGCCACTCATGCCCAAAAGCAAGCACAAGAAGCATGGTCGAGCGGAAGCACGGGCTAGTTACTAGCTCCTCGACCTTTTCACTTCGGCGAAACCTGCCGATCATCCTGCCGGAGGGTGTGACTGGCATGGCCTGGACCCAAAACAGCAAAAGAGGAGCTAGGAGCAAGAGCCGCCCCAAGCTGGCTACCTCACATGTATTATATAAATAGAGTTGTACACATATACCACGGCTGGGGTCAGCCCTTCAAGAGGTTTGCCTTGAAGATGTTCTCACGGTCTGAGCCAAACTTCTGAGCAAACTTACACCAGTGGACCGGATGGCGTCTCTCGCTGTGGCTCGCAGTCAGACAGTGGAAGGGTTTAGGATGTAGAGGGCGGCCGCACAAAGGCGCGAGGTCGAGGAAACAATGAAGACGTACATGACGATGTCGAGCTATACTTTCAGCATCGGGGCACGCCGTCGTCTGACCTTAATTTAGTGCCTTTCACAACTGCCACTCGCGCGCGGCCCTCTGTCACTCGAAGTGTAGCATCCCTGTGTTGTCGCTGTATACCTGTCAAAGACTGGACTGTCAGTTTGCGAAAGCGCATGGAAAACCTTCGGTTCTTTGTCCCAACGTCGGCAGCCTTCTGCATGCAATGCCCGCTCAGGTCCAAGGCGCATGGCAGGTGACGGCAATGCTTCCCGGCAGGCGGCCTTCAAACTGCGGACCTTTTGGGGCTTCGGATGCGTAAGGTTTGGTTCTGCTTGAAGCCTGAGGGCTTTCGCTCTGCTGTTCCTGCAGGGCTGCAGCGCAGGAGTAAGCATGAATAAGCTCAACCCCGCAAAGGGTGCTGCACCTACAATATAGAGTAATATAAAATGTACTATAATATCATGTGATATCATAGAATATAATTATCATATACTACAACATACTATCATGGAAGCCTGTCCATCTACACGGTGCCGAGGCGCCGCCGCTGTCAAGCAGCGGCCTCCTCACGGGAGCGCCTGCATCGGAGAATCCGAATGAAGAGGCGACCACCACATGAGCAGCAGGTTGAGGAGAGTTGAAGTTCAGGAGTTGCACAGACACAACCCATACACTTATGTCCGTGTTATATACGATGTCAATGAGTTACTCATGTTTTGCGTGTGCATATGCGCTAGAGGCCCTTGGAAATATGAGATGCTAAATTGCTCTCTTTAGAGGCGATTGGACTTTCGGATCCAGGGCTAATTGGAGCTCAGGGCTCCTCGCATGGACTGCCGGACGTCTATAGTGAGGCTAGTGATTTTGATTGAGTTTTCTTTGCTGCCCGCTAGGGTTTCATGCCTATTGGGCTACCTCTCGATTTCTGGCCTCCTGCGCTACACGCAAGCGAACGTCTCCTCAGAATGCCGGAAGGCGCCGCGGCCAAGCGGAAGCTGGCCCTCGCAAAGAATCTCGCCGAAGCCTCGGCGAAGTGTTCTTTCAGCAGCATTTTTCTGCAGCGCAGCTTTGCCAAAGGTCCAAGGCGAGCAGCTCTCGGCTCTTCAGTGCGCTCCACGGCTGTGGGAGTCTGGGAGCGCATGGCTTGGGCAATGGAACGCCGCAGCACGTCAGGTGCAATGGCCGAGACGGTGCGGGGCTACTTGCGCAAGGCGCCAACTTCCGCAAGTCGTCGGCTGCGATTTTTCGTCAAGCATATTCTTTTCTGGATGCAGGCTCAAGACGCCGAACAGGCCCAGAGGCTGACGCAGGCGGAGCATCTGCATGGTACATCCGCAACATATGCAGCACATTCTTCCGAGCGAGCTGCTGACATGAAGGCCGACTGAAGCTTGAACATGGTATGAATGGTTAGAGAGCCGGCTAGCCCAAGGAGGAAGGGACGATTTGCCAGGCTCAGCGTCGGCCTTCTTGGGAGCGTCGCAGCTCCAATTCCCAGGCCAGCGACTGGAGACCTGCTGTTTTGATGAAATAGCCACAGTGATTCGAGCAAATATAGACATGTGTAGTATTGGTGGTATGTCTCAAGGTCCTTGTCTGCTTAGCCCACTCTTGCACCCACTATCTTCTGCCCCTGAACCCTAAACTCTCAAACAACTTCAACCCCCTAAACCCTAAGCCCGAAACCCTAAACCCCCTAAACCCTAAACCCTAAGAAAAAGCCCTAAACCCGCAACCGCTCCGCCACTCCGAGGCTCCTCGCCGAGTTTGGCCGAGCTCCGAGGCACAGCCACCCTTTGCTGCAGTGTGATCGGGTTTGGGGGTTTGTTGGGAGTTTAGGGCCTTTAGGGGTTTAGGATTTAGGGTTTGTTGGGAGTTTAGGGGTTTAGGGTTTGGGGGTTAGTAACGGTTAGGGTTTAGGGGATGGGGTTTGGGGTTGAGGGAGGTGTCCAGAGATTTCGGAATACCTTTATTAAGTGATCAAGGAAGCATGTTTACCCCTGCAGCAAGTAGTTCTGATCCTCTTTCAGACACCGCCAAGCACAAGAATTCAGGTAAAGAGGGGTACTTGGCCCGCCCTGTCCCATGGAAAAAGTGCAGGCCGACCTCACGCACGTTGTGAGAGAGGTCTTAGCAGCCGTCCAGGCCTCCTTGTGGTGGAAGATCTGATTTGGACTCTACCAAACTCTAAACCCAAAACCTGCTCTTCCTCACGCCTGAAAATCCAAGACTGATGATGAGTTTCCGTGTTATAAGTATGTTTTAATCTACCCCAACACCCTCTTCTAATCATGAAGGCCTTGAAGCTCAACTTGCTCCCTTCTTGTCGACTCTTCGAGATGCCGAGACCCCGTGTAGAGCATGGCGAGTTGTGCTTGGCAGACGCCTTCTGGGGCCTCCGTGTCTCCGTTTGCCCTTCTTCCCTTTCTTCGCGTGAATCACATCTTGCTGTCGGTCGTGGATGCTGCGCCTGTGCATCAGGCGCAGAAGTCCGAAGCTGCGCAAGAAAGCAATACCAAGCTGTCCGAGGACTCACCCCACCACACCTGCAAATCTACAGAGCGTTTGCCGCTTGGAAGCTTCGTCAAAGCATCCACGATGATGATCGTGACAGGATCCTGGAACCTCGAAACCCAGGGCTGTCGCTCCTTTGCAGGCCGGATATTCTGCAGAGAACTCGTTTAAAGCACGTCAGGGGGTTGTAGCGGTACCTATTTAGAGCTATTTTATTACATATCAGGGACCTTGCTGATTAAAGTAAACTGGCATCCTTTCTTTTCCCGTAGTTGTAGTTCACCGATCCAAGTTGTAGCCTCTGCATCCACCTGCTGGACGTACGTGCTGTACAGGGGAAACTTGTTTTTCCATGCCCGAACCTGTCCGACTGCAGAGGGCAATTCTTGGCTTTCTTCTTTCGGCGTTAAGCTGGGCTTAGGGTTTGGTGAGCTCGGCTTCAGGGATTTATGTAGATTCAGGGAAGTTCAGAGTTTCATCAAGTTCTATCATACAGGTTTTAAGGTAGCGCAGTTCAGCATCCTGGACCCGTCTCACTGCCAGGCCGGTCCGGGCCTGGATGAAGCCATGCCTGAACCGCCGCAGACGACGGAGGCGAACCCACCGCCATGTCGGATGAAAAGTTTGATGTTGTATCATCTTCTCCTTTATCATAGTAAAACACCAAATTCTGTCATTTTTTACCATACTATATGATATAGGTTCATGGCTGGAACTGGTCGAGCAAATCGACATGGCCTCCAGGCCGTCGCGCATCTCCAGCAAGCCTTGAAGGCTGGGGTAGCTGTGGTTGTGTTGGTCATTCGGGGTTTTCGTGCTCGAGCGACGGAGCCTGTTCCGGATATCCCCATCAATCCGAAAGCCAACGATACCTGATGCCTCCTCCCATTGCTTCGAGGATCAGCAGGCATCGTTCGAGAGAGCGATGCAGGACTCATGTCGCCGCTGCGAGACATGTTCGCCACAGTTGCGACAAGTACAGGGTCGAAGCTGGCTGAGTGCTGCGAGCGCACAGGAGCAGGCGGCGCAGCACCAACGAATCACAGAGGCTCCCTGCTGTGGCGAGAGCAAACATGAAGTTTTCAGCGTGCACCCCAGCGCATGTCCACAGCTCTGTCACAGAGACCTGGCCCGCCCGCAGGCACAGACCGCATCTTTCATCCAAGCTCTGCAGGACCGAGCCAACTCATGCAGTTGATGCACCCGATGCAGCACGGGCAGACTGCGCAACGATGAATGCGAGTGTGGAAAGCTTGCTAAACAAGCTTCCAGGAACGGGAGAAATTCCTCGAAAGAATCTTGCAGGCGCGGCCCTCCACTTGTCGGCATGTTCCGATACGTTCCCATCTAGTGTGGCGTTATTGATGGAAGCTGAAACAAAGCGGCCGACTGTGGGGACCACAATTTGGAACAACCCTTGTGTCCTGCTTCGGGCCCATGTTCAGTCTTATCGACTGCAGACTTGTTTTAGCAAGTCTGTATGCCCCAGCTTGCGCCTTCATGTCCTTTCAAACTGACGTGAAGCAGCACCGCCGTCCGATCAAATATTATCAAATATTCATACGTCGCACGAGTGGTTTTTGTGCTGAATGCAAATCAGATCAAGAAACCGCATGTGAATGGAAAGCACGAGGTGAACTTGTTGTGTTCACTCCGATGCTATTGCGGATCATGTTACTCCGGCGTGGGAAGAACAGCAGGGATTTCAGTACATTTCAGTTGCTACATATGGCATAGCCAGCTTCGGTGTGAGGTCATGCGCGGATTTGTGCAGTTGCAGTATTTTATGTGCATCGATGCTGCAGAGGGGATTTGCAGATGCACATGAGGAGAAGCCAGTGAAAGATGCACAAGAAGCCACACCGCCCGAGGTGCCTCGAAAGCTGGTGTGCAGAGTGATCTATCCTCATCCGTAGATCCGATAGACTCCGATGGACCCAAAGATTGACTGCTGCTAGCCGCCCAGTGTGGCAGTCACTTTTACTGTCTGCGACTTTCGTTGCCAGTACAGGATCCCGAAGCCTCGCACGGCAGAGCTGTCGTCGCCGCGCCTTCGCAGGCCAGGAGCTTTCAGTAGAGATCGGGCATCGAACTTTTCCCTTTGCGAAGGCTTCAGAAGGGATCCAACACCTTCGTCCTTGGTTTGGATCCTGTAGGGCTGTGATTTGTTTTGCATCCCTTGTTAGCAACTTGTCTGTGTTCCGGAGTCTGGAGGCCTGTTGGGGCCTGGATGAAGCCACATCCCAAACGACGCGCTGTGCGGAGGCGACCGGAGGGCCCGGCTTTGAATTGAAGGGCACAGGATTTGCTTTTTGGTTTGGGATCGTTCCAGGAGCTAGACCTGGAGCAGGAAGCAACTTGCTAGCATGACCCAACCTGCAGGCAGGGCAGCCCGTCCAGCCCGTCTTCCAGCTCCAGCAAGCCCTGAAGGCGAGTCCAGCCCCGGTTGCGGTTGCTGTGCTTTTCGCCGATCTGAAGAGGTCCTTCGCTGCCAGTGTGTGGATGCACCCCGTCGGTACAGGAACAGGCGGCTCTGCAAGAACGAGTCGGGAAGGCCAGTGCCTAGATCAGAGGCTAAAGGTGAAAGGTATATAGTCAGACACGGCGCACGATCCTAGCTGTTTTCTGGCCCAGTTGATGGCATCCTCACAGATCCTAAAGGCTACCATGCAGGACTGACCGACGCAGTTGCCGCAGACAGCTGCAGCTGCCGGGTACCATGCACACTTTAGTCGATTTTATCCATCTCGGGCAGACAGATGCGCAGACGTTGCAGGAGCGGGACCAGAAGCTCCAAGAGCTCTTACAGGCAAACGGATCGTGCCTCCCGTTTTGATGCCAAGCCTCAAGCATGCCTTCTACAGCTCTTCCGGCAACACAGGGTCCGATATCGCACACCTCGCGTAGAAACACTAAACGAGAAACCAACACTTGTCGGATTAATCCCACTGAGAATCCCCAACAGCGAAATGGCTGTCGTTGGGCCTATTTTGCAGGGCACCAGACAAGCTGGCAGAGCTGTAGATAGGTTGTGTCCATCTCAGGCACTGAGCACCAGACTTGCTGAAATCAGGGCCACTTCCGTTTAGCAGGCCTCGGAAACTGCGTTCTGCAGCATGCTGCGAAGGTTTCAAACTTTCAAAATCCTACTGGGTTTTGGGGGGCGGTTTCGCTCGGATGCGCCAGGCTGCAGGTCACGGCGAGGAGCCGCCAGCTTGCCTCCTGCCAGGCCAGGTGGCGCCCTTTGTGTCTGAAAAGACTGCCCAAGGCTGCGACTGCTCCTTTCCTGCGCAGGGCAACTCACGGATGACTCTGCTGAGGACTGCCCGTGCGCTTGCAGCCTGACTGCTGACTGCTGCGACAGTCGTCAGATCGTGTCAGATCGGGAATCTGCAGCACGTGCTTTCGGCAGTCGGCTTCTGCGCGTCCGAAGCGTGAGAGCCGTGGCAGTGAGAGCTCTGCGGGCGACCACCGCAAGACCTCGGGCCCTGGGCTTCAACCTGCGCCGAGGCCACGCTCAAAAGTGCAGCATCTTCTTGAAATGTAATCAGGAGCCCCCCAAATAGTAAGTAAGTGTAATTGTTTACGCCCCTCTTTTGGAGTAGCATCATAAACTTGTAGATCCCTTGTAGTTCCCCTTATGGACCCCTTTCCTTGTGGCCGACCTGGCAGCCTTTTGACGATGGCCTTGGCCCCCAGAGACGCGCTCAGCGAGAGCTGCAGCCACTCGCAGGCCACGGCGGCGCCGAGTCCGGAGGGCACGGGGCAGCAGCCCCTTGCGGAGGCCACAATGCACTCTATACCTAGCTGATGGATGCATGTAATAGAAGTTCTGTGTGTCTATATAGGAATAAAAGAGATGTATACATATATACATATATAAATGAGGCTCCGAAACTCAGCCCGAACCAGCTCGAGTCATGAATCGCGCTCCTTCTCGGAAGATATCGACCAGTCAGACCACACATCCACAAATGCTGTACGCGAGATCCTGCGACACAGTCGCGGCTACAGACGGTGACACTGTGAACCGCTCTTTGAACAGTCAGTAGCTGCTGGTCATTGCTGGCCCCTGCAAGTCACAAGCGGAGGATTCTGCCCCTGGCAGGCCAAAGAAGAAGAGGAGCTCCCGCCGGCGCACTCAGGCGACTTGGCACCGCACTGGTTGCAGAGCGGATGTGCTGTCATCTATGCGAAGCATTCATTCGGCCATGTAGGGCCGCTGCGGCTGAGCGGCAGAGGCCAGGCTGCGCCGGTGGAGACGGAGGCGTGCTGCCATTTGTAGCCCGGCAATCCGGCTGCCGGAGAGACTGCGCCTGTTCAATATCTGCATCTCCTGTCCTGTTGCCTTGACTTACTCTGGCAGGAGCCTGAACTTCCTCGTTCGGCTCAGCTGGTCCTGGAGGCCAGCTGCAGTGAGTGCAAGCTCTCCGCAGGAGCCAAGCACCTCGCTGCAGGAAGCTGGAAGTGTGACACCGACGGATGACAATTCGGCAGCCACACGTCTGCATGTTATCTTCAAGCTGTCACCAGCATTGTTCTGAAGTCCGTGTCCGTAGTGTGTATTATATGAAGAACTTGTAGATACTGAGAAGAGATGGTCTCCGGGTTTCAGGCCTCGCTCGACTGTCGGCTTCAGGTGCCGCATGGCATGCGCTTCCAGTTCTTCCTGGATCTCATCGAGGACTCAGCCCCGTCGGCCAACCGTGATCAGCCAGTGAAGGCCACCAAAAATCTAGATCCTCCCGCTCAAAGAAACCACACTTTCGGTTTGTGGCTCGGTGTGCGACCCATTTCCCCTTCAAAGCCAAGAATCGAAGCTTCGAAGGAGAAGCGCGAGTGGCTCGAGAAGTCCACCGCCCGCGGCAAAGGGAGGAAAAACATGTATGACGTGTGCCCAGAGGTGATCATCGCCCGGCCCCTGGGTGTTTCTCTTTGCTTGCGAGTTGAGAGCAGGGCCGCGTTCGACGAGGGACTTCAGTTGGCATGTCCTAAGGAGAGGACGACCTGCCGCTCGGTTTCGGAGAAAAGCAACAGAGAGACGTCACAAGAATTATGAGAGGTCGGAAGAATTGACAATCTGGTCTGATCCCATCATGGTCCCGATGGCCCCTACATAAGGCAAGCCGATCGATACCACCGAAACCCGGGTCTACTAAAATGCCTTCCTAACATTTGATAACAATAATAGTACTGATACTAATAGTCAGGATACTGATTATGATTGTCATTGCCATCACTAGGCTCCTTTTTGTGCCTGGGGAACTTGTGCCGCCCCCGGGCTCGAGGCGAGGAGCAGATCCTGGTTCTCTCGGAGGCGGACGCGGGGAAAATCGCAAGATCCCTCGCGGACCCCAGCGGCGACCAGAGCATCTTCTTGCCAGACTCCCTGCAGTGTCGATCCGGTGTACACCTCGGCGGTATGAAAGTGGAAGCTTGGGTGCAGTCAGCTCCGCTCCAGCAAAGCTTTTGTGCAAAAGTCTTATTCACCATGTCTTACTGAGATCCTTGCTCCATGCAAGGACGAATTAGCCATTCAGGGCATCTTGTGCCAGAACCTTAGCAGCCTGCTTGCTAGTGGTGTGCGTGGCAATGGCACAGATCGTGGCAGCGGCATTTTCTCTTGAACAACTCCTGAGGTGACGGCGGCGGCCAGCGCAGGGAGTACTGGGCCGCACGCGCCGTGCCTTGCTGGCCTTTACCAAGAAACCATGCCGATCAGAACCCTCCAGTCCGGCACATAGCTGTTGAGGATCGGCAGCAGCGCTGGATGACGACTTCAGAACATGGCCGGTTGGACAAGGCTTTCCGTCAGAGCTCATGTGTACACAGTTTCCCGAGAGACTTGCGTCGGAGTCGGTGCCAGGGCCCTGCAGAGATCCCATCTCACCTCCAAAAATGCGGGAAGCTGGGCGAGAAGTCGGCCCGACGGGAGAAGGAGCTCCTGAAGCAGCCGGGCACGGTCGTCGTGCTTCGCCGCGGAGTGCCTTGGATTCCTCTGCAGTCTTTCAGTGCCAGCAGATCCCAAGTCGTGACAGACGATTCTTTCGCACAAGTTCAAGGGAGAACCGCGTGCGAGAAGTCCGAGGTGCCGTACGCCCAGTTGGAGAAGCCGGGAGAGTTGGGGCTGCTCACCAGCTTCGTTTCGCACGCCTGGGGCGAGGACCCAGCAACTTCCACAGTGCAGAGCTTGTATGGTGTGTGGTTTTGTGGGAAGTTACCGAAGTGTCGGTGAGAACCCGAGCTCTGTTTCGCGACTTTTGTAGGAAACTCTGGAGTTCGCCCACACGCTGAAGCTGCACGCCAGGAACGTGAATCCCTCGAACCCAGGACTGCTTTTTGCCACTTCCAGCCTTTTGCTTCTGGCATTTCTGTGAGCATCGAAGACAGAAGAGCAGGGGCCCTGGCGTACTACATTTGCACGTGGCTCGCTCTAACCTTCTCGCCGCCTGATACTGCTTGCCCACCGTCATGCTTGCGCAGTGCTTGCGGTGCAAGCCAGCTGAGGTTTTGCAACAGCCAACATAGCGTGGCCCGGGCCTGAGGGAGCCTTGCAGCGGGCGGCAGGCAGAGCTTCGAAGAGCCGTCGTGTGCGCCCGGCAAGGACTTGGGCGGCGACGACTGGCGCCAGTCCCCTTTCAACCTCGCCTTGGAACACGTGGCAAGCCGCTCCTCCCTCTCATCGAGTCGATTTTGATATAGATTCAGATGTTATACGTTATACAGATACATGTGTATATTTCTTTGTATGCATACTTATATATATAACATAAACAGAAGTCTGTTTGTTAGTGGATAGTGTTTTGGAAGCTTTCAGGTTGTCACCAGAAGCGTGGGTCCATGTACCGGGCGGTGATGCTGTGGTGGCCCGAGTATACCTTGCTCGATCTGTGCAGCAGCACCACGCGTGCACGTGCTTCGTGCCACCGGCGGTGAGGTTTGACAGGTCTTGCAGCACATTGAAGTGTCTCGGTGTGCGAAAACATACAGTCTGCCACTAGTGGCTCCATGCGTGAAGCACAGCACCGCGCGCTGCCTCGCGTCTCAGGCGGAAGTGGTGCATCTTCGAAATCTTCCGCTGCCAAAGTCTCGGCCTGGAGCTGGACCTGCCGCTCCGGTGCAAGAGACATGTATCGGGTGTTGTGACAACACCAACGCCAACGCATGGTTTCCGGTCCGCCCATGTCCTTTCCCTAAACCTTGAAACTTTGACTGCAGGTATTGCAGGGACGGTGAGCTCACTCGGGCGAGCGAGTCGCAGCACGCAAAGGAAATCTTGCAGGAGGTCATGGACGTGGACATGATGGCCGCGGAATGTTCCGAAAAGAAGGTGGGGTGGCATCAGATGGTAATGCAGTCTGCTGAAATGCACTTTTAGTTTGTCTTTTAGATGCTACCTAGCCAGGCGTTGAGCCAAGTGTCTGATGCTTCCAGTGTTGCTGGCTGGATCCGAGGATGAAATAACGATCGACGGTGCCATCAGCGATCACCCGTCTGGTTGGACCGGCGTCGTGTCCAAGGTGAAGATGCAGGCTCCTTCCAGCGAAGAGCGGGCGGTATTCAGGGGAGTTGCAAATTAAGTCCACGAGTCTGAGGTGATGGGACACTTGTCCTTTGTGGCCCACATGGCCATGACCCGCGATGCCTTCACAGGTGGCTTCGATTCATCGACTGCGTCAGGAAAAGCCGAGTTGGAGCCATTCAGAATGAATATTGCATTACGGCATTATTCTATGCTGTACTGTACTATAGCTCGGAAAATGCATTACTCCGGACTTGAAAGCGCCTTTAGACTTCACTCCTCGTCGCCTGAGCGACTGGTAGAAATCTTCCCCGAACCATCCGAAATCTTTCGCACGTGTCGCTCGACAGCTTCCAGGCCAACAAGTGGAGCCGGAGCAGGGCATTGAGCTGGAGGGCTCCGCCGGCAAGGCCCGGCCGGCACTGACGCGCACTACCGCCTGCGGTGAACGTGGCATATCGCGGGAAAAAGGCCTGCGACGCCTAGCACCGCGTGGCGTCGCGTGGGCAGGTGAGCCTCTCGGAGCTCATCGACGGCTGCATGCAGGTGCGCAGCTTGCGAGGCAACGAAGCATTTGCCGCCTCAATTGCCTTCCGAGAGGCGTGTCTGTCCGCATGCTTGCAGCCCTGAGCTCGGAAGGACTTGGGTTCAGATTTAGAGTTCACTGTAGCAGTGTAGCCAGTATGGTACTTACGGAAGCTTCCTGGAACTGTGGGTTGGAAGCCGGTGCGATCGGGAATTTACCTCCAGTTGCCCACGCTGGTGTTCGAACGCACGCTGCCTCTTCGTGACCCCGGGTGGCTTCAAGGTCTGCTGCAGGGCAGCAGGTAGAGGATGAGAACCTGGCCAAGGCAGGAGGACGTCGCGTGCGTAGGGCATCGGGTTTGTGGTTGAGGGATGTTTAGCGTTTAGTGGGCCGTTTTCTTGGAATTGCACCTGTCGTCTCTTCGTTTCACTTTTTCGAACCTTCATTCGAGAAACGGCTCGATCAGCGGCGTGGAGGGTGTGCTACGAACATGCCGTCACCTGCATATTGCCAGATAGTGGTGTCTCCCGGGCACAGCTTTCAATCTGGGCCAGTAGAGCGGCGCTGCAGCACGGCTGCCATGGACTTCGGCAAGTTGTTGACAGGCTCAGCTGAAGCGGATGCTCATCACTGGTCAGGGAGGCCGGAATCGGTGTGGGGCCTTGTGCGGCGTGGGAGCGGAAGCTGTGAGCAGGCACGGGCAAGACCGTCATCACCAGGGAGATCGTTCGGGCCGCCGTGCCTTGTCCATGTGGCTACAGTAGCGGCAGCTAGCAGAAGGCTTCGATTCAACACGAAAGACTTCTCCTGGGTTTTTTCTGGTTTCTCATAGCGCTCAGGTGAAGCTGGTGCGCACGGCCCTTACTCACAGACCATCACGAGGCTTCTTCTGAGGCTGGAGGGTTGTTTGAGACTGAGGTGAGAAGGCTCTGCGGCTGGTCCCGCTGAGAGTGCCCCTAGCCGAGCTCGCCCGGTGTGCTAAGGACGGGACGATAGCATTAAAAGGGCGGGTCGGGGCAGCTCGGGCCATAGGGAGTTAACTTCTAGACATGGCTGCATGCCAGCATGTCACCAGAATGAAAGAAGTGACTCACCAACACTTGCCTAAAGGAAGGCACAGCACGTGAGCCTCTTTTTAATATGTCGACTCGATGCCGACTCGGAGATGAATGCAGAGGCTGCAGAGGCGTTTAAGCCGTTGACTTCGGAAGACCAAGCAGCTTCTCACAATGGATTCAACCGAGCTCCACTTGGCAACGGTTCACTGACTGTGCCTTGCAGGAAGAAGGCGACATGCCTCCAAACCGCAAGCAGTTGGAAGTCGGAAAGGTTGCTTCTGGAAGGAAAGCGGCATGCAAGCGTTCGCATCTGAGGCTGCAGGTTTGGGCTGTGCAGGCGTTTGGCAAGGACGGCCAAGAGCTTCTCCAAGGCGCAATGCAGCGCTTCAGCCGCGCTCGCCACTGTCAGATTCAGCTTGCGGACCTTCAGGCGAGCGGCAGCTGCTCCTGCTGCTGGACGGCCTGGACGAAGCTGGGACGGACAGGCGGCGCATCATCAGCTGGCTCGACGGCTGGCTCCGGCTCCTCGGCAGCACACGGACCGGCTCACCGGAACCTCGTTGCCTTTGCCATGCCGCGACCCTCCCAGGCAGAACAGCCATCGCTGCGCTTGCGTCGTCCTGACCAGTCGCCCGAGCGGCACCGACCAGCTTGGCCCCCAGAGCACAGAGTCGACGCGCAGCAGAGCTCGTGAAAGGTCGTAGATGTGCTGATCATCCGACCTCCGGCGCTTTCCCTTGCCCTTGCTGCTTCGCGGTGCTGTGGACTCTGAGGGTGGTCGACCAGGAGGGCAAAGCGAGGGAGCCCTCGAGGTCATCCGTTCTGCACGCTTCCGAGAAGTGCCTCATCACACAGGACGGAAGAGACGTGCTTGCTAGATGCCGCTGCGTCAAGTTCTCGCAAACAACTCAGCATCGGTTCGAGGCTGCAAGGGGATGAGGGGCCGTGGAGAAAAGAAACATTTGCTAAAATCGGAACGGTGTCGAAATCGTCGAGCAGCATCCGTTCGAGGAACTAGACATGAAGGTCCGTCAACAGACCGCAGGACCAAAGCTCTTACTACACCGAAATTCGCCAGGACAGCTTCCCGCAAGGGTCTCATGTGCTACTCACCGACAAGCGCGACCTCGTGATTGGCAATGGCAAAGTTCCCTTCTGCGAGCAGGCGCGGCCCAGCCGCCTCATCAGGATTAAGCTGAGTTTTGTGAGTAGAAGACATATTTACATAAGTAGTAGCCTTAGTAGATACTACAAAAAAGAGCGAATATCTGTGATCATCCATGCTGTGATGATGATGAGACTGATTGCCGCAGCAACCACAAACCGCAAGAGACGACTATTCGACGACGGCGACGACGACCACTCATACAACTACTACGACTACTAACACTAGCGATCGCAATAAACACTCATCATACTACTCTGACACCGACAATAACGCATAGAATAAGTTGACCATGAACAATTACCGAGCATGGTTGATTACTTAGTAAAGTTGACGGTGCTTGAGCACTTGTTTCTTGAAAGCATCGCCTGATGAAGATACAATACCATTAATTACAGTAGGTCACACTGCCTGACTGCTGGGTTCGCTTTCAGCTCTGCGCGCTATATATATACACACACACGGGCCCCTTTACGTTGAAGGGAGGGATGTCGTTTCAACTCCGCCAGATCTCCATAAGCGAAGCCTGCTGAGGGCTTCGTCCTCCGGGCCGACTGCTGCCTGCAGCCTCCAGGATGCCATGTGCGGGTGCGGCGCAAGGACCCACCGACTGGTGCAGCCCTGCTTTGTTGTCCTATAATTTCATGACTGCAGGACCGTGGTGGCTGGGGCTGGGTTTTCTCCCCTGCGATCACCCTGCACTACTCCGACAGCAGCCGCGCAAAAGCCCTGCTGGAGCAGGCTTGGCGGGAAGCCACCGGTCGTAGGGCCGATCTCCACAGGAAAGAGGCTCGCGTGGTCGTCACCCGGGCGGACGGCCAAAAGTGGGAGGAAAGTTCTAGTTTTTACTACAAGCGCACCATACATTGGGCCACGCTCCTGGACTGGTCGGCCACGGAATTTCCCTGCCGCGCCTTCCTGGCGTTGATGGAGAGGCAGTATGCAGAGGTGGAAGTGGAGGATTTGGAGAGGCAGTATGCAGAGGTGGAAGTGGAGGATTTGGAGCTGTGCTGCCCTCGGCTTCACGGAGTGCTGCTTTCAAAAGGCGCTTGAGACGGAGCTGTGGGCTTTGAGGCGGGTGGAGGCTTGCGGAGACGACGTCTTCGTCAGTGCAGCGGGTCTGGCGCCAGGCTGCTGGCTGTTGACCGGAGAAGGCTCGATCGGACCAAGGGGGCACAGTGGCTGAACCAGGGGCAGGCCCGACTAGTGCTGGAAGCGCGGTCTACAATATACCCCAAACCCATTGAAACTAAAAATTACCAACTCCCTTACGTTGCCTAGAGCCTCCTTTCTATCTTCATCCTTGGGCTAACCAAGTTTTATGGTGAAGTGGTTAATCACAAAAGAAACTACAATAAGACTGTTTAAGGTGACAAATTATTCAATGTAGTCAGCCAGCTTGTAGGATGCTGACAGTCGGGCTACTCGTAGCTTGCCGCAGAAGGGAACTACATGGGAGAGTGCAGGTATAGCCTTTCTGTGCTGATGCATCGTGCTAGCAAGATAAGTGTTCAGTAAACCCTGCACCCATGGTTTAAGGTGTTAGCTGTGTTTGCAGATCTGTAGTTCATAGGTTTCAGGGCTTCGGTTCAAGGTTTTGTAATCTTTATGCCTGTAAGGCACTGTAAGGGCTTCCTACGATGGTTTTGGGGGAGTAAGGTTCCGGTGGCAAATGCTAGCTTTTACAGGCGGTCTGACACCCCAGACCCCAGACCACAAGAGTTGCGTGCAACGCGGAAGCTCTGAAACCCTAAACTCTACAAGCCTTTGCCTGAACCTCACAGAACCTGCCGTTGTAGGGTGATTTCGTTACCTGAACTCCAAAGCCGAGCAGCCATGAATCCCTCAGTTAGGAATCTTTCATCCCTGAGCTCTACCAAATGGCTCCCAAGGAAGATGGCCAGGATCCTGGAGCAGCCAGAAGACCACCAGAAAAAGGAATTACAAATGGCGACTATAATACTTCAAACTACCAAAACATTATAAATTATAAACATACCAAGTTGTAGGGGCCTTACAAAAATCAAGGTTGTGGTAGTTCAAGGTAGTCCTAGGTCCGATAACGTATGGCAGACAGTAGCACCCACAGAGCCTCCCGAAGCCTTGAAAGGAGGAGCCCTTAAAGTAACCCTTGAAGGAACCCTTTAAAGGTTCCTTTAAGGGGCTCCTTCACGGGTTCCTTTAAGCGCTCCTTTAAGGGGTTCCTTTCAGGGTTTTTGAGGGAGCTCCTTTGAAGGAACTTTTCAAGGAGTATTAAAGGAACCCTGCACACTTGGTCCGAAAGCTCCCTCTTCTGCTTCTCAGCCAGGCTTTGCGGACAAATTTGTCAGGTACTCCACGACCAGGCACCGGAAGGGCACTGATTTGAAGCCTAGATTCCGTTCCTGAGGCAGGCTCCAAAGGTGGGGTAAAGGAGGCGGTTGGATTTTTACGCCTGGGTCCCTTGCCCCACACTGCGGTGAAAACAAAGCATGAGCCAGCCCCTCGACTTGGTGATAGGACTCCCTGTTCTTAACAATTGCTCCATGTGTCTCAATCGATGTAATTCCACCAACCCCAAGCCAAAGCCTGTCAGTTAGTTGGCTGAGCTTAACTCGAGGGCTTTGCCATGGATTTTGGCATTTTTGTTGTCGGACATTAAGTGGCTACCAAATGTATACGCGGAGAATTCCCCCCAGTGAGCTCCGTGCGACATGTAGAGACTAAACGACTATAAACCAGCTTAGAGCAGCCCCCAGTGGAGTCGCAATTTACCATAGATCAGAACTGCGCAGGCTTGAAGACTTTGGAACAGTATCCCGTACAGTTTTGTACGGTTCAGGGTTCAGTACAACAGCATCAACTCTTGTTGCTTCAGCAACATGTGGTAGGCTTCGAGTCCAGGAAATTGTAGGAGGTAAGTAAGGACCCGCAAAATAGGCATGCAGCTGCCAGAAGATATTCGAAGAGTAGTTGGGATCTAAGCCCGACTATCTGGGTACGCCAGGGAAGACGGAAACGAGCTCCTGCCCACGGAAGGCCTTGCTGCAAGCTTTTCCACAAGCACAGAATCATCGAGTCGTGGAGCAACAGTCCGACAAGTCTTCAAAGCTCATTTTGCTTTGGTTGGAGGTGCTTTTCGGACGCTATTGGAGGGCCAGAATGGCAGCGCCGATGCTCTTGCTGGTGCGGCTTTTGTGTCGGAGATGACCCTGCGAGCCGAGCTCTCCGAGCAGCCCGGGGCCCCAGCACGTCATCGTGGCGAAACGCCGCAATCACGACTCCTTTCACGGGGTGCCCCAGGCTGCAATTCCAGCCGCTGCAGCTGCTGCCGCTGAGCCCGGGCATCGCCGCCAGGCCCCTGCAGGGCGTCCCGCGCGATGCAACGCAGCACGAAGTTTTGGTTTGGATGCAATCGAGCGCAAGAGAACTGTCAGGATTTCAAAGGCACCAGAGCAGCTCCTGGAAACTCTTCCGGACGTGGCAACTTGGCTCACAAGACTCTCCTCTCCGTATACGCTGAGGGAGGCGGCCTGTATGATGATTTGAGCAGAATGGAACGGAGTTGTCATGTATGCAGAGCACGAGCACGAGAGAGTCCGGTTTTCTTCCCAGGTTTGGGACACGCCATTGATGGCCAGCATCCTCGGCCGATTCCTCGACGCCAGCACGTGGCTTCTCATGCCTTCGTAGGCTCTTTCCCCGAGTGCACGTGACACTTCAGGAGAGTGCCGGAAGCAACAGGACCGTTGAGCGTCGTCGCAACAGCACATGCACCTGCATCCGATCTCTCTCGTCCCCGAAAAGGAACAGATGGACATGGTGACAGCAGAGCTGGATCTGATGGAGTATGCGCTGAGAACCCTCATTAAGAAGGCGCCACACCGCTGGGGGCATGTTTTGATTTTCAGAGAGACGACCCCCAAGTCCGTGGACGAAGGCGCGCAAGGATGCATGTCTTTTGTTCATCCCCGGCTTGATGCTGTCTGAGAGCAGCTGCGTCGTGGCGCTCTGTTTGACGCAACCATCATGGTTCCCGCTCGAAGGCCGAAGAACGCACAGGGCGCCGGCTGTGTTCCCTGGGCCCTCGGTGCCTGGAGAAGCTGCAGGCTCGCCCTGCAGGCACGTTGAAGCCGCCGTGAGATGTCGCCGATCGGAGCCGGCCAGGCCGGGCATCGCCTTTTCGTCGAAGCCGACTTCGAGGACCAGGCGGAAGTTTACTCCACTCCAGCTTAATGTCTTAATATGACAAAGGCATCGATGGGCGTCATCGCCTGCAGGTGGTCTTCCAGGAGGCCCAGCGAGGCCACCTCCGCCTCTTCGAGCCGGTGGCCGGGCAGAGTGCCGCGTGGCCGCCGCGCTTTGACCTGCCTGAGCTCCGCTTTTTGTCTATGCCTCTCGCTGCTACTCGTACGTCGCGGGAGGTGCAAGTGTACCACCTGAAGATGCACGAGCTCCTGGCGGCTAAGGTGTGACAAGACTTCTGCGCAGTCGCATTCCGGTCCGGAATGCGGGGTCGTTTTCTGTGAAGCGCGGGGCAGGCTTGGAAGGAGGCTGCGCAAGCCTCGGCACGATTAGAAAGCCGGCGTGGCCTATTAAAGACTCCGCTGGAGGCCGGTGTCAACTTGCAGGTGGCCTTCGAGCAGGCTCGAAACGAGCCCATGCTGCGAGGCCCGGTGGAAAGTGGCTGCGAGGGCGCTTGTTTGTTGGGTTTTGCTCGCAGTGGTGCAGGCGCGGCACGGTTCCTGGTGATGATGCAGACGGCGGAGAGCCCGGAGGCCTCCGTCGACCTGAGCAACTGCAAGCTGGGAGCGGCAGACGTCGAAGCGCTCCGAGGACCCCGACGTGCAACCGCAAGATACCGCAAGTGGTGCACGCCATTGCACACCAAATGCTGCCCGCAGGAGCCCTGCTGTGCCGCGGCCCCCGCCTCAAGATCGACTTGAGCGTCAACCGAATAGGCAGCTGGCCCAGCTAACGTTTGTGCAGAGAGCCAGAAGCATCTTGGTTTGCTCCAATTTGCTCCTGTTTGCAACGCTTGCCTCACCGACGAACCGTTTCATCGTGACGCTTGTTGGGACTTGCCTGCTTTTTTCAGTGTTTCGTGCATGGTTCCTAGGTCCTCGTGTCGGCCACCTGCCATTTCGCAGCTCACCCCGTCGCCCGAGTTAGATGAAGCAGGAAACATAGCGAAGAAAAACATCTCAGAGCCAGAATGCAGATCAGCCAACGCAATGAGGCAGCATGGCGGGCCAGCACAACGTGAGATGAAGTTTCCTGAGTCGCCAACCAGCTCCCAAAAAGCACGGGGGCAGCCCGGCTACTCCTTGAGCTCGACCGAGGCGACGCTGGTGCGACCTGCTTGGCAGATGCGCTGAGCGGCCTCACAAGCCTTCGGGAGCTGGATGTAGAGCTGGGCGGGAGTGGTCTCGGCCGGGGCCGTAGACGCCAAAAAGATGGACTGGAACCCAATCAATGAGCTGCGTCTGCGCAGAACTGGGCGTCGGGTCCCTGGCCGAAGCCCTCGAAAAGCTCCCCGAGCTCACGAAGCTGTGCTTGAGCTTGGGCGGGAACCAGCTCGGCCGGGGGCCTTAGGGTGAGAGAGAGAGAGAGGGTCCAAAACGGCAGAAGGGGATCAAAGCAGCGTTCCTGAGGTGGAGCCAAACGGTATCGCAAAATTGAGCGTGGACTAAACCTAACCAGAGCGAGCTTGAGGCGAGAAGCGGAGGGTACTTGTGGGTTATTTTGGTTTGCTGACTGGCCGGCAGCTCCTCTGTCAGGCCCTTCAGTTTTCAGGGCTGGTGCTTGCATGCAGTTATGACGAACCGTTTCATGTGGTATTTGGGACTGGCTCGCTCTTTTTCGGTGTTTCGTGCATGGTTCGAAGGTCCTCGTGTCGCTGAATGTTGCAACCTGCCATTTTGCAGCTCACCCTGTCGCTCGAATTAGAAGAAGCAAGAAGCAAAGCGATGGAAAACAACGCAGAACATGAGATGAAGTTTCCTGAGATAGTCCGCCACCTCTGAAAAGTATGAGATCCTTAAGGGAGGGGGTTCTACAGGGGGTATATGACCCAATACTCCCCAATCCTCCTTAGGGCTCCCTAAGCTTCCCTAAAATTTTCCCTAAGGCTCCCAAAGGATCCCTAGGATCCTCCCCCTTGAATCACCGTCCCATAAGGATCCAAAAAGAAGAGCAGGGACTCGCGGCTATTCCTTGAGCTCGACCGAGGCGACTTTGCAGCCTGCTTGGCAGGTGTGCTGAGCGGCCTCACAAGCCTTCGGGAGCTGCGCGTAGGCCTCTTCAACACTGGTCTTGGCCGGGGCCAAAGACGGCCAACAGGCGCCGTGTCTGTGCAGAACTGCAGAGGGAGGGGAGGTTTATCAAGGAAAGCGACGGGCTTCGACATGCAGCACACAGAGCCGAGGCCCCGAGGGCGTCGGGTCCCTGGCCGAAGCCCTCGAAAAGCTCCCCGAGCTCGCGAAGCTGTGCTTGGAGTTGGGCCGGAACGAACTCGGCCGGGGGCCTCAGCGTGAGAGAGAGAGAGAAGAGAGAGCGAGAGAGAGCGGGTCCAAAACGGCACAGAGGAATCAAAGCATCGTTCCCGACGAGCCAAACGGCATGGGAAATTGAGAAAGGACTAAACCAAACTAGTGCTCGCTGGAGGCGAGAAGCGTTTTTGCGGGGGCTGTGGTTTCTGCCCGCAACTTTATTTGTCGAACGCTTCACCACGGCTTGGTGCTTGCAGGTTGAATTCGCTAAAGCTTGGATCCGGAGGTGGCTAAAAAAACGGGCTTTTGTTCTGGCGTGGAAGGTGACTGTCACGATGTGTTTGCAGCTAGCAGCAGGGTCCCCCTGCTTCCCGTTACTCTTCGGATTTAGGCGCAGGGGGCTTGCGGGCTATCTTGTTTTTCAGACTGGCTGGGAGCACCTCTGTCGGACCCTTCAGCTTTCCGCGGCTGGTGCTCCCATGTAGCTATTATATGACGAACAGTTCTATCGGGAAGGTTTTTGGGACTTGCCCGCTCTTTATCAGTGTTTTGTGCATGGTTCCTGGGTCCTCGTGTCGCTGAATTTGGCCACGTGCCATTTTGCAGCTCATGTTGTCGCTCGAAAAGCGAAGAACAACAACTCAGTGCCAGAATGCAGGAGCCGCAGGCTGTTGGATCAGCCAACGTAATGAGAAGCTTCCTGAGTCGCCAACCAGCTGCCACAAAGCAGGGGGCTTCCGGCTATTCTACCGAGGCAACGCTGGCGCGACCTGCTTGGCAGATGTGCTGAGCGGCCTCACCAGCCTTCGGGAGCTGCGCGTAGGCCTCTTCAACACTGGTCTTGGCCGGGGCCAAAGACGGCCAACAGGCGCCGTGTCTGTGCAGAACTGCAGAGGGAGGGGAGGTTTATCAAGGAAAGCGACGGGCTTCGACACGCAGCACACAGAGCCGAGGCCCCGAGGGCGTCGGGTCCCTGGCCGAAGCCCTCGAAAAGCTCCCCGAGCTCGCGCAGCTGTGCTTGTACCTGCGTGAGAACGAACTCGGCCGGGGGCCTCAGCGTGAGAGAGAGAGAGAGAGAAGAGAGAGCGAGAGAGAGCGGGTCCAAAACGGCACAGAGGAATCAAAGCATCGTTCCCGACGAGCCAAACGGCATGGGAAATTGAGAAAGGACTAAACCAAACTAGTGCTCGCTGGAGGCGAGAAGCGTTTTTGCGGGGGCTGTGGTTTCTGCCCGCAACTTTATTTGTCGAACGCTTCACCACGGCTTGGTGCTTGCAGGTTGAATTCGCTAAAGCTTGGATCCGGAGGTGGCTAAAAAAACGGGCTTTTGTTCTGGCGTGGAAGGTGACTGTCACGATGTGTTTGCAGCTAGCAGCAGGGTCCCCCTGCTTCCCGTTACTCTTCGGATTTAGGCGCAGGGGGCTTGCGGGCTATCTTGTTTTTCAGACTGGCTGGGAGCACCTCTGTCGGACCCTTCAGCTTTCCGCGGCTGGTGCTCCCATGTAGCTATTATATGACGAACAGTTCCATCGGGACGGTTTTTGGGACTTGCCCGCTCTTTATCAGTGTTTTGTGCATGGTTCCTGGGTCCTCGTGTCGCTGAATTTGGCCACGTGCCATTTTGCAGCTCATGTTGTCGCTCGAAAAGCGAAGAACAACAACTCAGTGCCAGAATGCAGGAGCCGCAGGCTGTTGGATCAGCCAACGTAATGAGAAGCTTCCTGAGTCGCCAACCAGCTGCCACAAAGCAGGGGGCTTCCGGCTATTCTACCGAGGCAACGCTGGCGCGACCTGCTTGGCAGATGTGCTGAGCGGCCTCACCAGCCTTCGGGAGCTGCGCGTAGGCCTCTTCAACACTGGTCTTGGCCGGGGCCAAAGACGGCCAACAGGCGCCGTGTCTGTGCAGAACTGCAGAGGGAGGGGAGGTTTATCAAGGAAAGCGACGGGCTTCGACACGCAGCACACAGAGCCGAGGCCCCGAGGGCGTCGGGTCCCTGGCCGAAGCCCTCGAAAAGCTCCCCGAGCTCGCGCAGCTGTGCTTGTACCTGCGTGAGAACGAACTCGGCCGGGGGCCTCAGCGTGAGAGAGAGAGAGAAGAGAGAGCGAGAGAGAGCGGGTCCAAAACGGCACAGAGGAATCAAAGCATCGTTCCCGACGAGCCAAACGGCATGGGAAATTGAGAAAGGACTAAACCAAACTAGTGCTAGCTGGAGGCGAGAAGCGTTTTTGCAGGGGCTGTGGTTTCTGCCCGCAACTTTATTTGTCGAACGCTTCACCACGGCTTGGTGCTTGCAGGTTGAATTCGCTAAAGCTTGGATCCGGAGGTGGCTAAAAAAAACGGGCTTTTGTTCTGGCGTGGAAGGTAACTGTCACGATGTGTTTGCAGCTAGCAGCAGGGTCCCCCTGCTTCCCGTTACTCTTCGGATTTAGGCGCAGGGGGCTTGCGGGCTATCTTGTTTTTCAGACTGGCTGGGAGCACCTCTGTCGGACCCTTCAGCTTTCCGCAGCTGGTGCTCCCATGTAGCTATTATATGAGGAACAGTTCTATCGGGAAGGTTTTTGGGACTTGCCCGCTCTTTATCAGTGTTTTGTGCATGGTTCCTAGGTCCTCGTGTCGCTGAATTTGGCCACGTGCCATTTTGCAGCTCACCCTGTCAGGGATGGGGATCAAAAAACTAAACAGGATCAATTTTTTTAAGTAGCATCAAGAAAACATGTATTCCTTTTCCCTCCAATATTAAATTGTCGATTGTATTGCCACAATTCTGCTATCATGACTAATAATTAATAGTATCACTATTCTTACTATTGTCAAAAGTCTTACTGCTAGTATTACTGGTATTACTACTACTGCTACTACTACTACTACCACCACTACTACGATTCTCATTGTTGCTAACACTATGACTACGAATACTATTATTGCTACTACTGTTACAGTTATACTTATTAAGTAATTACTAATTAGTAGTATCCGAACCCCGCAGCCACCAGTTGCTTGCCCTTTTGACCCCAACCGTCCGCTGGCAAGGGCCTCCAACCGGGACGTGGACAGCTGGGAACAAGGCAACCACGACAAGACAGTGCTTGCAGACCGAACACAGTTTGTGTTCCCGTGGCTTTAGGAGCGGCGCAACACAAGCGAAAGCCCCACGTACCTTTCGCACGCAGCTGCGGCCGTGCTTCATTTTGTGGCGCTTGGTTTCTATGTCCTAGAAGCCTCAAACTTGGCCGTCTTCCAAGGCCGAAGCCCGCAGCCTGCAATACGTTTCATCGACACCGGCACAGGAGCTGCTAAGCCCGGTGCGAAGCACCATTGCGGCTTCCTCAACCTGATCGACCTTACGCGGCCCACGCCACGCCCCTTGGCTCAAACACGCTTTCACACAAAGCGCCCCATAGCACTTTGCCCAGCTCCTGCCCCCAGCCCACTTGGGTTGAGGTCCCTCGGCCCCACCTTCGCCAGTCGGCAGAGATAAGCCACGATTCCCCAAGACAAGCCTGCCCTTTTTGGCCAAAAGCCATGCGGCGTCTCCCTAGGTCTTGCCCACCAGTGGCTGAGGTTAGGCTCCGAATGCGTGGTACAAGAAATCAACTCGACAAAGGAGCCTCTGGCAGCATCCGACGAGCGGCAGGTTTGAGATATATGACGAACCGGAGTCGTGTTAAAGATATATGATGAACCGGAATGGCCAAAATAGGCGGCTAGCTTAAGATATGTGATGAACCGGAATGGCTAAATCAAGGGGCGTGTTTAAGCTGTCTGACCAGCCAAATTAGGAGGTGTGTGTGAGATTTATGATGAACCAGACGCTGAACGAGGGCGTATTTAAGATGTACGATGAACCGGAATTGGAATTTGGTTTCTATGGGTTTTGTGTGTGTGTGTGTGAGTTGTTTCTGTTGGTTTTTCAGTTTGCGGTCTGTGATGAACCGGAATCGCGAACCGGAATCGCCAAATGAGGCGGCGTGTTTAAGATACGTGATGAACCGGAATCGCTACATGAGTGCGTCGTTAAGATATATGATGAACCGGTATGCTTCCCCATGGAATCGATTCTCTTGCGATTCAAAGTTGCCGAAATCCCTAATTAGTCCATGTAGTATTATATACGACGAATCCTGGCCGCGGGGCATGCGCTGCAGTCGAATCCTCTGTGAAGAATTAGGACTTGCGGGAAAACTATGCACCGGAGCACAACGACGGACGCGGTAGTCGCACATGTTTTGAACAGAAGCAGGAAGTTGGGATCCGACATACAGCATCTGCTGCAAATAGTAGGCTAAGGGACGGGCGTTTGCCCGCACTATTTTGGGGATATGTGTGTTTTACTCGAGAAAACGCATAGTATTTGTTGTTTCGGGTTGTGAGAAGTTCGTCTTGAAACTCGCAAGTTCCGTGTTGAAAGGTTTTGGATTAGGAGGCAGGTTGGGAAGCAGGAGGAAGCAGAGGTGAGGAGAGGGAAGTGCATTTGACTCGTAAATCTCGAGGTTTTAGGGGGTTTGACTTGAGCACTGCTTGTGGTGTGTTGTGTGTTTTTGGCTGCTATCCTACGTTTTGAGTTCCGGCCCGGATTTGTGTTTCTCGGGGTTGAGAATGTTTTCGGGGAGGAAGTTCAGGCAATGTTTTGATCCTGTTTAACTCATTTTTAATCCCTGGAGACTTCAATTTTTGTTGATCCTAATTAGACTTTTTGATCCCGTACCCTGTCGCCCGCCCGAGTTAGAAGAAGCAGGGAAATGCCACGACGTGAGAAGAAGTTTCCTGAGTTCGCCAACCAGCAAGCACGCAGCTCCCGGCTATTCCCTGAGCTCGACCGAGGCGACTCTGGTGCAACCTGCTTGGCAGCTGCGCTGAGCCACCTCACCAGCCTTCGGGAGCTGCATGTAGGTCTGTGGAGCACTGGTCTTGGCCGGGGCCAAAGACGGCCAACAGGCGCCGTGTCTGTGCAGAACTGCAGAGGGAGGGGAGGTTTATCAAGGAAAGCGACGGGCTTCGACACGCAGCACACGGAGCCGAGGCCCCGAGGGCGTCGGGTCCCTGGCCGAAGCCCTCGAAAAGCTCCCCGAGCTCGCGAAGCTGGGCTTGGACTTGGGCCGGAACGAGCTCGGCCGGGGGCCTCAGCGTGAGGGAGAGCGGGTCCAAAACGGCACAAAGGAACGAAGCATCGTTCCCGACGAGCCAAACGGCATGGGAAATTGAGAATGGACTAAACCAAACTAGTGCTAGCTGGAGGCGAGAAGCGTTTTTGCGGGGGCTGTGGTTTCTGCCCGCAACTTTATTTGTCGAACGCTTCACAAAAGCTTGGTGCTTGCAGGTTGAATCCGCTAAAGCTTGGATCCGGAGGTTCCTCAGCATGGGGTTTTGTTCTGCGGGGGCGAACATTCGAGATGACCTGTTGTCGAGGGATTTTGGTTTCTTTTAGTGTTGTTCCTTCGGCTTGGGTCGTGCAGATTGCGCATCTTGCACCTGATGCCTGAGAGATCTTTGTATGTGAGTCGGAGAATGCTCTTTCTCCCGTCACACGCATCGGCTTCAATACGAGTTCAGAAAAAGGTGGAAGCTGACTGTCACGATGTGTTTGCAGCTGGCAGCAGGGTCCCCCTGCTTCCCGTTACTCTTCGGATTTAAGGCTTAAGGCGCAGGGTGCTTGCGGGTTATCTTGGTTCCCAGACTGGCTGGGAGCACCTCTGTCGGACCCTTCAGCTTTCCGCGGCTGGTGCTCCCATGTAGCTATTATATGACGAACCGTTTCATCGGGACGGTTTTTGGGACTTGCCCGCTCTTTATCAGCGTTGTATCTGCATGGTTCCTAGGTCCTCCTGTCGCTGAATTTGGCCACGTGCCATTTTGAAGCTCATGTTGTCGCTCGAAAAGCGAAGAACAACAACTCAGTGCCAGAATGCAGGGGTCACAGGCTGTTGGATCAGTCAACGTAATGAGGCAGCATAGTTGGCCAGCCCGGCTATTCCTTGAGCTCGACCGAGGCGACGCTGCGGCGACCTGCTTGGCAGCTGCGCTGAGCGGCCTCACAAGCCTTCGGGAGCTGGATGTAGATCTGTGCGATATTGGTCTTAGCCGGGGCCACAGACGGCAAAATGGTGGACTGGAACCTAATCAACGAGCTGTGTCTGTGCAGATTTGCAGCTGGAAGGGAGCTTCAAGGGAAGTTCGACACGCAGGCCTGGAGGGTGCCGGGTCCCTGGCCGAATCCCTCGGAAAGCTCCCCGAGCTCGCGAAGCTGCGCTTGGACTTGACCGCGAACCACCAGCTCGGCCGGGGGCTTCAGCGTGAGACAGAGAGAGAGCGAGAGAGAGCGAGTCCAAAACGGCACAAGGGAATCAAAGCGTCGTTGCTCAGGTGGAGCCAAACGGTATCGGTAATTGAGCGTACACTAAACCTAACTAGTGCGAGCCGGATGCGGGTTAAGTGTTGAACGACAGTGGGGCCACATCACAACTTCCAGAAGCGAAACAACAAATATCCCTCTTTGCGGGGCCTCTGCAGGCCAGGAGACGGCGGAGGAGCTCCGTGCGGCCCTGCAGGCGCTCCCCGCGCAGGAGAAGGAGATCGACCTCTGAGACCGAGGCCGGGGCTGGTTTCGGGGGGACGCGATGTAAGGACAAGAAGCTTCGGGACGATGGAGCCAGCGGGCAACCAACTTCTCCGAAGCCTTCGTAAGAAGCTGGCCAGGCGATTTCGGCGAGGACATGCAGCACGGCTGAGAGCAGAACACGGAGAGCATTTTGCTCAGGTTTCACTGCATCTGTATGCTCGGAGACGCAACGGTGTCCCGCAACCTTTGAAGCAGAGAGCTATGAACCCAGAGAGCTTTGCAAATCAGCGTCACGACTGGTGTCATTGCATTCTGTGAGTCTTGACAAGCCCACACGATCGGTTCATAGTGCGAGCAGGCTTGTGCTTTCTGCTTTAAGGCAGAGCTTTCGGAATCTCGGATTTGTTGATGGAGGCCATTTTGTAGATGGAAGGCTCAGGACCGTCGTAGGCGTGTGCCCCATCTGTTGGACACGTTCTGCCTGTCTGAGTCCGGCGCCTATCGTCGTATCGACCATATCTCGCACACAGGCTTACTTGCACTGTAGCTTCAATCAAGGATGGTGGCGGCTTCAATGATGTTATGTTTGAGCAACCCCCATTCTACGGCTTCAGGTGAGGTTGTGCTTGCTGGAGAGCTTTGCTTGAGCCGGAATCGACAGGGCCGAAGAGTATAGGCCGTTTCTTCGAAGTGTCCCTTGCTGGGTCTTCGAAGGTCGTTTCAGCTCCATGGCCTGCTGGGTTCGGCTGGTGGCGGGGAAACCTGCCAGAAGTAGCATTCCGTATTGCACAAACTGCAAGACAGACTCGACAAGATGGCACCAAGATCCGTTGTCCATGAGATCAACATGTCGCTGCATAATAAAGTGCAGTCTAGTATGGAATTCTCCGAACTCTGCAGGCTCAGACCTCGTCTTTCGACGAAATCTCGAAATCTCCGACAGCGGCACAAAGCAGTACTCGGGTGGGCTTGTCGTGATTTTAGTTGGGATGTCTGAGCCCCTCTCCCACTCTCCACTAAGTGTTTCCGGCAGGATGCTGAGGTAAGGGTGCCTGCCTCGGCCTCCCGCAAGCAGAGCCATGAGGGTATGATTGGGGATGGATGCGGGCTTCCAGCTTCGGGCGGCCACTGGACATGGAGACGAGACCCACGCACGCATTGGATGGCCCCCTCTCTCGCCCTCTTTCTCACTGTCTCTCTCTTTCTGTCTCTTTCTCTCTTTCTTTCTCTCTCTCTCTCTCTCGCTCGCTCTCTCTCTCTCTCTCTCTCTCGTTCTCTTTCTCCCTGTCTCTCTCTTTCTCCCTCTTTCTCTCTCTCTTCTCCTCTCTCCCTCTCCCGTTCTCCCTTTCTTTCTGTGTGTATCTCTGTCTCTATTAATCTTTCTTTCTCTACATATGTACACACATGAGACTGGTGGGTATATGTACATCATGTCCGAGCAATAACAGCCAATACTTAAAACAAACTCAATCTTTTCCAAAGTTTCAGAAAGGGGGCCGCGCCGAAAAGGAACCAGTGGGTTCCAGGGGTTGCCAACCCTCGTCAGATGGAACTCAAAAAGAACCTGTGTTCGGTCCTCAGGCGCTAACTTGCTTCGCAAATTGCATGCAAAAGACACCGGTACTGTAAGTGCAGGTCTTGCATGTGTAGTGCCCGCACCCAAATTTTGAAGAGCTCTCGAAGCTTTCGAGCAGTGAGGGCTCCAGCCCCCAGCTTCCGCCATGTGAAGGCTCTCAGTTCGCAATTTTGGGGGAGCAGGGCGGCCTTTTAGCTCCTTGCATCACCAGGCATAGGGACCACCTCAGTAATCGGGTGGGGAAAAGTCGCTGCAATTCCTTTCCCACCCGGTTGCGGTCCGTTGGGCTTGCTGCCGCTTTTTTCCCCTGGCCATGGCTTATGCTAAGCATGACGTGGAGCAGGCCAGAGTAGCCTTGGAGCAGCTTGTTACCCCTTCCATTGCTTGTGGTGTCTGTTTCGGTGAAGGACTTGCCGGGCGTGCCCCAGCACCTTCCGGCGAAGCCGGCAGGGGCAGAGGCAAGCAGGGCACTCTGTTCTGGCAGGGACATCAGGGTGATCAGGCAGCGATTGGTTAGAAGGTGATGGTCTGAGTTGTTCGTGGTCGCATGTGTGCATGTTCCAAGGTCCTCCCCCTGGGGTCCTGTGCTTGTTGAGTCTCTGCTTCTCGCTCGCACTTCGTATGCCAGGCCCGTGAAAATCCCGAAGATGGACGCCCGTGGGACCCTCGGTGAGCTTTGCAGCCCTGCCAATCCACAGCTCAGCGATTGGACTAGCTTGCTTTGAAAATACAGAAAAGATAGAGTCAGAGTTTCCTTTGCTAAAGTGGAGCTGGCAAGGCGGCGGTCTGATCCAGAAAGCGCGGGTTTATGGGCGAGGGACCTTCGGGGCCTTAACCTAGGGCCGAGTCCTGGATCTTCATAGAACCCTGAGAACAGCACTGCAGCAAGCCAGGCTCGGCGAAGGGTTTCAGGTGTTGGGTTGATTAGGGCCGGGAAGCTTCATGAGTCTTATTCCTTACGGTGCTTGCTTGTAGAAAGATGTAGCAAGCCTCGCAGTAACTTGAAATGTGTGCACTCGGCCCTCAAAGCTTCACCTTTTTCGCAGAACTCAAACCACTGTACTCCCCGCGACGCTGACATCCCTGAAGCCCCGCGAAGGAATGTTGAAGCAAATAAGCAAAGTAAGTTTCCAAGCTGCTGGCAGCCGAAGTGTAAGCCTGTAGCATTGGGCATCCCATGCGTCCCGACGAGAGCTAATGTACTTCATCCTTATGTTCAATCCTCAAGACTGCTGCTAGCTCCAAACTTTTGAACCAGGTGGGTTGCTGCCTTTTGATGAACGTGGCCCGGCACACGCGAGAGCGCGCGGTCAGAAAATCGGTGCTGGGCGTGGAACCCGAAGCTATGGATCCTAAGACCCCCAAATCGGGTCTTCGGGCTTGCGGTTTTGGATGGGACATACAAATCCAGCCTTAATTTCCCTATCACGTGTGCCACTGCCATTCCTCGCTCTATCAGAGCACGATCAGCATCTTCTCGCCTTCATTTTTGTCTCTATTGTTGAAAACAGTTCAGTGCTTCGGAAATTGGGGTTTGTGGTCACTCCCGAAAGTGCATGGTTACAAGCCCATCTCCAAGCCGCTTCGAGGCACCCGCAATACACCTGTTTTGAAGGATGGACTAGTAGGGATTGAGGACCTCTTTTGTGCCCGTGTTTCGAAGAGCATCGAAGTTTGAGAAACCGCCCTGCGGGGTACGACATGCAGTCGCTGTTCGGTTGGTTCTAACCTTGGGTAACTGCAGAGCATCCTCGCCATAACTTTCACACAAGAAGCCGTGCTTTCCACAGTCTTTTTCGGCCCGAGGTTGGCCAATGGCCATTCGAAGCCAGATTGACGGCAGGTGAGCAGAAGCTGTGGCCACATTGCAAACAGCACTTTCACACGAGTCTTCTACGGGCATGACCGGAATGTCACGGAAACGACTAGATGGGTGGGTGCTCGCAGAGGGTGTGGGGAAGATCTGATGCACGAGCCCTTGGAATGCCAACTTTGCAATGGTCTCCGTCTCAGCTTCAGCTGATGTCAGCGTCACAGCCCTTTGCAGGACCTCGCAAGCCACCCAACGTGCTCCTAACGGTGCTCCGCGATGTTATCCTTGCACTTTCGACCATCCCGAAGCTAAAAGTGTTGCTTCCTGTGTCGCCGAGGCGATGTCATCAAGACCGTCTCGATCCTGTCAGTGTGATGCGGTATTGCGAGGAGAGGGGGGATGCAGGCTGTGCAGTTGGGTGTCGGGATATGGGAAATGATGGCTATGACCAGAGCGCCGCGTCTGCATTGTAGTTTGGCAGCAAGAGATGCGCGAGGTGTCCAGCCGCACAGACGTGCTATGACGTGCTCATGCCATGGCAGCAGGAGCATCAGAAGCCCAGCTCACAAACCATGAACTCTTGAACCTTCAAGCTCCAAGCCGTGAGCCCTCAACTTCTGAAACGCTGAAGAGGACTTCTGGCTGGGTTTGTCCGGCCGCTCGTGCACCAGCTTTAGTTGCAGAGGGTGCGGGGCTCAATTGTTGGATCAGTCAGACGCAGCAGATTCTGCATGCCTGTGCATTCATGGGCATAAAAGAAGATATACGCAGACATTCGTCACATACGCATGTTAGATGTGCCTGTGTAAGAATATACGCAAGACATTTTGACGAGAAGCCTTTGACATATAGATAATGTTGGTGTTTAGTGTACTTCGTGCAGTCAGACGCGGCAGCGCATCCAAACGGATACAGCCAAGGCAGAGCACTTGGGGAGAACCCTAGACAAAAGACGTATTCACATGCAAAAACTGCAAGGCGACAGCTGGCAGCATAGACAACGCGACCGTAAGAATCCACGTGGAACATTCAAACAAACAACTGTGCGCATTCGCAGCTCTGTGGCTATATGCGGAATGCTGTAGCTGTTGGTAGCAAGGCTTCAGTGATCCCTAAAGCTGAAACTGCACGTATGCTGCACATTAAGCACCTTGGCTCCCAAGCTGAGCACCCCCTTGCAACCAAGGCAACGCATCCAAACACTTGCGACCGCTATGTCAAGCTCCCGGCTCCGAGAGTAGTCATCACGGTTGAGGGCCAGGGTTTGTGCTTCTGCTGGAGGTCCTGATCCCGCGCTTCTTTAGATCAGATCCCAGATCACGAGCAATCAAGACCCCGCGATATCACATGCCTGAACTTGAGAGTTTCTCCGTATGCGGTATTATGTGGTGACCGAGCCTCAACGTCTAAGTAGCCTCTCAAGCTAGCGATGACTACGAGGGACCGCGTCCCACAACGATGTTGCAGTGCCCTTAGAGGCAGGATTGTACT